TTACAAAAATTCAACATTTTTTACATTTATTTTCCTTTTGTATTTCTATTTTAATATTTTCATTTCTTTCTTGGCCCATTTGTCTGTTTGTTTTTTCTCTTATCATTTTGTCTTTTCCTCTCCAATTTTATTTCCACCGTACATATTTTAGATGGTAAAAATTTAAAAGCACAATTTCTAGAATCAGACGGTCCAGGTTCATACCGTAATCCTTTCACTTCCTGACCGTGTAACCTTTCGCAAGTTACTAAAACTCCCTGTGCCTCAACTTCCACATTGCTAAAATGGAGTAACTAAGAGTATCGACATCACATTCTTGCTTTGAGAACCCAATGAGAACAGCATGTGAAGAAATCACTGTACACATTACCTAGCACACAGAAAATGTTCAATAAATACTATGTATGATAATGATAGTGAAGGCACATTTCCATCCTTGCTTAAATGGTCACTACCTATCTGGTGATCAAATACACTTTTACCTCTATTTTATTTGAACTTCATTATGGTTTGATTTGAAAATTTTCTTTGGATGTTATTTTGGTGTATAGTACAGAGACAGTGTTTAAACTGATTTATTGTCTGAATAGCTAGGCAATTACTGGATGGACATAGTAGCTCATGCCTATAATCCTAGCACTTTGGGAGGCCAAGGCAGGTGGATTGCCTGAGCTCAAGTGTTCAAGACCAACTTGGGCAACATGGCAAAACCCTGTCTCTACTAAAAAATACAAAAAATTAGCCAGGCATGGTCGCATGTGCTTGTAATCCCAGCTACTCCAGAGGCTGAGGTGCTAGAACTGCTTGAACAATCTGGGAGGTAGAGGTTGCAGTGAGTCAAGATCACACCACTGCACTCTGGTCTGGGCAACAAAGGGAGACTCTTGTCTCAAAAAAAAACCCCAATAATAATAATTAATAGCTAGGCAACTACTCCAATAATTGTTATTGAATATACAGTCCTTTCTCAGTGTGTGGTGTGCTCTTTATCAAATATTTTGCTATTCCACTTTTTAGAATTTGCTTCAGGGAAACCTAGTGTTTTAGAGGTATCTGCTGGTATAATCTGGCTTCTTCATCATTGACTTAATTGTTACGAGTTTATAATGTTTTAGCACCCAATAATTCAACTCACTTGCATGACTCTAATTCCCCATTTTTTTCTTAGACATCCTAATAGATCTGTTCTCTTATTTGAATTTTACAGTCATGTTGTCACTTTCTCATACTTAAATTTGGTTACTTAATTTTGGATTACTGTTACTTAAACTTGGATCAGAAGTGAATGACACTTGTGGAATAACCTGAGAGTTGACATGTGTTATAATGAACGTTCTTCACATATGGGACATAATGTGTATCTGCATTTTTCTGACTCATTTTTCCATTTTTCAATAAATTTTTGTGGTTTTCTACATCACTGAAAGAACTAGTAACACATAGAGGTGCTCAATGTTAATGCTGGATGGATAATACAACATTGCTGGAGGGATTAAAGGCAAATTACCTCTTAGCCTTTGAAGGTTCTTCTAAGTAGAGGGATCTGTTGCTTAATTCACATTTTAATGCATTTAATAGCTCTAAAAATATTTTATCTGGACCTCCTATTTGCCAGACACTCTAATAGGTTCTATGAAGGATTTAGACAAAGACTCAGCCATAGGTCTTATCATTGAGGTTCTTCCAGTCTGTGAGGAGACACAAACATGTATAAATGTAATTATATTACAATATTGCAGGTGTAAAATAAAAGTATGATAAGAGCAAAGAGTTGGCATATGATTAATAACTATGATATCTGGCCAAGACTTCGAGATGAGTTGCTGATGAAACCTGTGTGAGGCACAAAAAAGATGGATAAGAGTTTTATAGGATTGTAAAATAGCAATGTGCGTTATGTGTTCGAACGTTAAGGGGTATCGAGATGTGAAAGACATAGTCTGTGATTATTTCTGAATCTTGGACTCCGTAAAATCCACATCATCAACTTGTAAGTCAGCTTGAAGCTCAGAGGCTGCCTGTGTTGGCAAACAGGGTGTGAATCTCCAGGGCAAGAGAAAGATTAAGTAATGGATGCTTTGATGTTGTTTCCTTGAATGCATCTATCTCATGTGTGTTTCTCCCCAAATATTTGGTGATCATGTGGTTTGGCTGAAGGAGAGAACATTTGTTGAACATTGTGTCAGCATAATATCAGCTTTAGAATTTCACAGATATCTAGGTGCCCTAAGAGACCAACTGGACTGGACATCAGACCAAGATTCTGATAAAAGGGGATAAGAGAGATTAACCAGAGTAGGAAAAGTGCTTTTCTGAGCCAGAGATAACAAGAGAAACTTAAAGAAAGGGCTGAAGCAAGAAAGTTTAAGCCTGTGAGTAGGTAAGTAAAAAACTTAAAGTTTTTGGTATAATACCAAACAAGATTTCCTTTTCTATCTATTGTATTAAATTAATGCTATCAGCTTTGGTCTAGATGCTTCTGTCTGAAGTATAGTGCCTGTATTATTGTCTTTGGAATAAATAATACGGTTTGTTCCTGAGTATTCATTTTTGTAATTAATTGCTTCAGGTTGAGCTATATCACAATTAAAGATCATTTTGAACCAAGTTCTACATTTAAAACATGAGGAAACTGAGGCCCA